ATATAATGTCGTATTTAGAGTTGTGTGAATTTGGACAGGAGAAAGGAGATCTGTTGTATTTTTAGATTTTCATGTGGTTTGCATACACTATTTCATTTATTTTTCAATTTTAACTTTCCTTCCTTATTTCTTTCCTTCTTTCCATCCTTTCTGACTCTCATCCTCCCTCTCCCCTCCCTCCCTCCCTTCCTTCTTTTCCTTTCCTTTTTGGGGGTACTTGGGATTGAACCCAGAGCCTTTATACTGAGTTGCCCCTCCAATCCTTTTTAAATTTTTCATTTTGAAACCAGGTCTTGCTAAGTCACTAAATTGCCAAGGCTGGTCTTGAATTTGCTTCAGCCTCCCTAAATGCTGGGATTCCAGGCATGTGCCATCACATTTGACTTAGTTTTGCTTTCTTGTGGTTCTGGGGCCTTGTGCATGCTAGTCAAGTGTTCCACCACTGAGCTACATCCCTAGCCCTTTTATTTTTTATTTTGGGACAGGGTCTTGCTAAGTAGTTCAGGCTTGGCTTGCATTTGCAATTCCCCTGCTTCAGCTTTCGAAGTAGCTGGAATTACAGGTGTGAATGAACCCTCATGCCTATTTTTGTTTCCATCTTGTTCTGGATGGATATTAGCTAAAGTCCTCAGTTCACTCTCACTGTTGTGTACGTGTGTGGGTTTTGACTACTGCGTAATGGCACTCATTTGCCAATCCAGTGTTGTGCAGAATGCTTTCAGCACCCTAAAAATTCCCTTTGCTTATCTTTCTTCCTGCCCACTGTTTGCTCCACCTAGCTTCTGGGAGCCACATGAGCCCAACAATGCCTTTGGAAGTGAAGACTGTGCCAGCATGAAAAAAGACGGCACCTGGAATGATCTCCCTTGTGGCACAACTACGTATTGGATTTGTGAGCAGAAATGTTCCTGTTGAAGCCCAGGGTTGGAGCTGGGGTCTACGCTCAAGCATGCTGGCTCTTGGAGAGGAGTCCCCTGCTCTTTCATGATAGACGCTGCCTCTTGGTGAACTCACGTGGATGTGTCAGAAACATGACTGGCCGCCTGGTCATAGCAAGTTTCCTGCGACGCCAGCCAGGCCATCTGTTTCGGAAGGATGGTGAGTTGGAGGATGCTGGGCCTTGGTGGTGTGATATCTCTCAGTTCTTGGATATAGAGGACATTCACCGGATTCCTGATTATGGCCCTTGAGGCACAACGGTGATCTGGGGGCTCTGGACCTGACTCTGTATCAGACTGACACATCCTGGATCCTCTGAACCATGCCTGATAAGTTGGAATTGGGCTCCTTGCCTCCCCGATGTGAAGCAGCTTCTGAGAAGTGGCTAGGGTAGAACAATTTGATGATCAATGTCCTCACTGCCTTGAGGAACATTTGTACAAGTGAGGTGGCAGAATCAGGCCTCTTCCAAGATCTGGCCTGTGGAATTTTGAGAAAGGCAGGTCAGCTACAAAGCTGATTTCACACAGTGTAGCCAGATCCACAGCACAAGAGTGGAGGTTCCTGCCAACATGTGCCCTTGAGCTGTGTGTAGATTGTAAATTGTTTGATGGGGTTGTTAGCACTTCACATCTGTGTGGGATTTTTTGGGTGATTAGCTCTTGCAGTGTTAGTGCTTCTCAAATGTCACTTCCTTGTGTAGTGCCGGTCACTGTCCATTTTATAGGACTGTCACTACCAAGTCCTTTTTTGTGTGTGTGATCTTGGGGATCGAACCCAATTCCTCTGCACTGAGCTACATATCCAAACCCACACCTTTATTTTGAAACAGTGTCTCACTAAGTCCCTAAGTTGCCTAGGTTGGGCTTGGACTTGCAATCCTCCTGCCTCAGCTTCCCAGAGTGCTAGGATTATGAGTGTATGCCAGAACACCTGGCTGTCAATGACCTATTTAAAGACCCTATCTCCAAATATACATTGTGAGGTACTAGGGGCTGAGAATTTAACATATGTTTTGGGAGATCACACTTCACCCCACAATAGCCACTAAACACCAAACTCCCCAACTCTTGATCATTGTAACAAGCACTACCACCTGCAATACTCAGAGAGCAGGTGCCATATCCAGCTAAGCACACACAGCATAGTAATCCCTTTGGACAATTCCTAAATTTTATCCAAGGATGGATAGACTTTCCCCAAATGGACCAATGTACTGATCAATAAGTGTCCTTTACCAATAGCAGAATCTGTCCTGTTTTGAGGCGATTATGGAAAGGAGGCTTGACTGTCAACTCATCACAGAAGTGGCTATGGGGGACATAGGGGGTCACATCATTTCCTGTTCCTTCTACTTTTGTCTCCTTCTATTTCTATGTTTGTCCCCAACTCATTGCAAAAGCCCCAAAAGCTCCCCGTACAGTCCACAGCTGATGGGGTGGGTGGGGTCCTGTTCTAAGCCCTCCATCCAGGGGACCACTGGTCCTGGTGTTTATCTGGGTTCAAGGGAAGTTTCCACATCTCAGAAGAGTAAATTTTCATTTCCTCAAAAATAAGTGTTGAGGTTCTGCTGCTTGCCTCTCAAGCACAAGGTCCCAAGTTCAATCCCCGGTACCCCTGCCCCCAAAAGTGTTGAGAAGTGAAGAAGCAGGGTGTTGAGGTTAGGTTTTTGAGTCACACTGGAGGCTGTGGCAGAGTTGGCACTGACTTACCACCTTCCAGTGCTCTCCCATTGTTTAATTGAAGACAAGTAAATGTGAAAGGTGTCCCTTTACCACTCAGAGTCCAGAGGATGCCCTAGGTGGGTGAAATAATAATATTCCTGTGTTATGTGCTAGATATATGGTGTGGTTCTCATTTAATCTTACCATGACTTTATGAGGTTGAAATTACTAACCCCATTTTATACAGTGGACTCTTGGCTTGTGAACTCAGTCTGCATGAGGCTTATGAACTCAGTCATTCATGAGGACTGGTTGTAACTCAGGTTGGTCAATTAAAGGCTCAGGCTCCTCTACACAGTCTTCAAAGTCTCTCTCCTGTACACAGGCAGATCTCAGTGCTCTTCAAGAGACATTGGAAAAGGATTTCTCAACCCCACATAGGAAAGGATGTTGTAATGTTCCTTCCAGAACTCTGGAAGGGTTAAATCTGTATCTGAGGCCATCTGGAAGCACAGTGGCTGGCATTTGGGTTGTAACTCAAGATTTTAGTTATAAGTTAAAACAAATTCCAGTTGTAACCCAAGTTGTCTGTATGTCAAGCCCATCATAATTTGAGGGTCCACTGTACTTGGGAAAATGGAGGCAGGAGGATTGCTGCAAGTTCAAGGCCAATCTGGGCTACATAATGAGTTTAAGGCCAGCCTGAACTACATATCAAGATCCTGACTCAAACAAAACAACAACCAAAGAACCAACCAACCAACAAACTAAAGGGATGGCCTGGAGAATTCTGGACTTATTTTGAAGATATGGCTATTGGATTTGCTGATGGACTATAGGATATGACAGAAAATGAAGAAGCGATAGGAAAGATGGAAGTATTAGAGATGGGGAAGAAAAAAGACAAATACCCTCTCCATTTCCATGGTTTAGCTAGGTGTGGTGGTACACACCTGGAACCCCAGCACTCTGGGGGGCTGAGGCAGGAGGAGGCATGAGTTCCAGCCCAGCCGCAGCAATCCCTGTCTCAAAATAAAAAGTGAATAAGAGCTCAGTGTGAGGCCCTGGGTTCCGTCTTTAGTACTAGAAAAAATTACTTATTTATCTTAAATTGACAACTAAAAGTTATATGTGTATATAAGATGAAGAAAGGAAAAATGTATATATGTATCAGGTGTAACATGTTTTTGTTGTTGTTGTTGTTTTTTGGTACCAGGGATCGAACTCAGAACTTTGCAGTTGCAAGGCAGGTGGTGGAATCACTAAGCTAAATCCCAGGCCCAGGTGCAACATGTTTTGAAGTATGCATACATTGTGGAAGGGCTGAGCAGAGCTAATGAACATGTGCATTAACTGACATACTCTTTGTGGTGAGAAAACTAAAAATAAGCAACTTTCAAATACCCATATAATATATAAAAATATATTATTAACCTCAGTCAGCTTTTTTTTTTTTTTTTGGTACTGGGACCGAACTTGGGATCTTGCACTTGTGAGGCAGGCGGCAGAACCACTGAGCTAAATCTCCGGCCCCATAGTCAGCATGTTGTACAATGGATCTCTTGAAGTTGCTCTTCTTGTCTAACTGAAATTGTGCATCATTTCACCAACCTCTCCCAACCCATATTGTAGCATCTGGTGACATCATTCTACTTTCTTATTAAAAGTTAATTTTATTGGTACACTTTAGAATAGGTAATTCTAACATTCATTGTAGGGAATTTGTACTTTCATTATGGATCTCACTAGCTAGACGACTTTTTTTTTAGACTATTTTTTAGTCTCACTCTGTAACTCTGGCTGGCCTTAAACTCACTATGTAGCCCAGGCTGGCCTCAAACTTGTGACAATCTTTCTGCCTCAGCCTCCTGAGTACTGTGATTAGTCATGTGTCACTGCACCTGGAGTGGAAATTTGTACTTATCCATGATATATCTTGATTCTTTTTTTTCCAATCCCCTTTCCTCCCTTCAACCCCTCTTCCCTTCATTATGTGCAAAAGCTTCATTTACATTTTTCTTCTATTCTTTTTTCTTTTCCTTCCTTTCCTCCTCCCCCTTTCCACTTGAACATTTTCTTACTATTTCACAACATCTGTTATACATTTTAGTTCTTATTTATCCTTTTGGTTTCTCACACCAGTGATACTTGAACAATGTGACATTTAATGTGTGATTTATTTCACTTAAGATTATGGTCTCAAGGTGCATTCATTTACCTAGAAATGTCTCAAGTTTATCCTTCTTTATGTCAGAGAAGTACGCCATTGTATAAAAAAATATATCTTCTCTGTCTATTCATCAGTTTATGGGCATTTGGGCTGTTTCCAAGATTTAGCTATTCATCATATATTACTGTGGTATCGTGCTTTTAATTCTTTTGGAAAGATACCAAGATGAGGAGTAGCTAGATCCAATGGAACCTTTAGTCCTAGTTGTTTTTATTTTATTTTTTTGGTTTTTTGAGACAGGGTCTCACTATGTAGTTGAGATTGACCTGGAACTCACTACATAGCCCAGGCTGGTCTGGAACTCACAGTGATCCTCCTGCCTCAGCCTCCCAAGGGCTGGGATTACAGGCATGAGCCACCACACCTGGCAAGTCCTAGTTTTTTGATGAATCCTCACACTGGTTTCCCTAGTGGTTGCGCTAGTATATATTCTCACCAACAGTGGAGAAGGGTTCATTGCTTCCTCACAGCCCTTCCAGAATTTGTTTTTGCTTGATTTCTTGATAATAGCCATTATTTCTGGAGGGATGTGGAATTTTAGTGACAAGTGATGTTGAACTTTTTTTTATTGAACATTGATATTGAACATTTTTTCATATATTCATTTGCCATTTGTACATCTTCATCTGAGAATTGTCTATTCATTTCAGACGCCCACTTTTGGGTTAGGTCTTTAAATTTGGGGTGTCTGATCTTTTTTTAATTCCTTAGGTATTGGTACATTTGAGATATACAATATGATGACATTCATCATTAGGAATTTGTACCTATACATTTGTACCTATACATGATAGATCTTGGTTCTTATTTTTTCCCTATTTCCCTGCCTTCTCTTCAATTCTTCCACCCCACCCTATTTACAAAGACTTTGAGAAAAGGTGTCTGATCTTTTTGAGTTCTTTATATATTTTAGCTATTAGTCCTTTGGCTGAGGAATAGCTGGCAGAAAATTTTTTCCCACTCTGTGGGTTTATCTCTTCATTCTGCAGGTGATTTCTTTTGCTGTGCAAAAGCTTTTTGATACAGTGAGATCCCAGTTGTTGATTCTTTTTTTATTGAGTTTATTGGTACATTTTAGGTAT